ACCAATTGATTTCAAATGACATCTAAATATTTGAATAAAAAAAGAATTATGACCTAAAATAATGTAGCATTAAAATGTCATAGAAATTTTTTTTGCAGACTGAACTATCAATCTATGATCAAAACTATAATAAAGAATTATCTATGCTGCTTATTCAGTAATTAATTACAACTGATTAAAACCTATTATAATTTGTATTTTAAAATTTTTAATCAATTAAATTTTGTACATTATAATTCGATAAGAATTTTAATATATCAAACAAAATTAAAATAGAAAAGAAATATTACGAGAATATATATGAAACATTCATGTAAGCATCAGAAAATTGGCAAAATGATAATCCTTGTAATCCCTGAAAGAAGGAGAAAAAACAGGAGAGAGACAGAGAGAGACCAATAATTTAGGTGTTACTTTTATGTATATATACAACATTTTTAATAGAATTAATTAGTATATATAATTAACATGAATTGATTTTCTTTCTTAACTCTAAGTAATTGAACCATGGTCGCTTGATTTATATGTTTATTAGCCAGTAAAATAACAGTGTTATTTGTAATTTGGTCAACATAAAATTTGATTAATTAGTATCAAATTAAAAGAAAATAAACCGAATACATCTTTTCTCTTCATTTTTATGCATATTTAAATAATTTGCATATTCACCTTCTATCTAATTATTATTTCTTCCCTTTTACAAATAATTTATGCTCACTCAAAAAGGAAAGAGAATAGATTTGATGGAAACAATAAAAGAAACAATAAAGGGAGTACACACACACACACACACACACACACACACACACACACACACACACACACACACACACACACACACACACACACACACACACACACACATATACATACATATACATACACACACACACACACACATACACACACACACACACACACACACACACACACACACACACACACACACACACACACACACACACACACACACACACACACACACACACACACACACACACACACACACACACACACACACACACACACACACACACACACACACACACACACACACACACACACACACACACACACACACACACACACACACACACACAACACACACACACACACACAACACACACACACACACACACACACACACACACACACACACACACACACACACACACACACACACACACACACACACACACACACACACACACACACACACACACACACACACACACACACACACACACACACACACACACACACACACACACACACACACACACACACACACACACACACACACACACACACACACACACACATATACATACATATACATACACATATATAATATATATACACACATCCATCGTAACAGTATAAAATTCCTTTTTTACGCTCCCTAACTATTCATACTAAAACTGAATGAATGGATAAATAGCGACGCAAAGAGTAAAATGAGGTGTGACAGATTTGTATTGTCACAGTGATAATTTTGCATCTTCTTTGTTCCAAAAAAAAATATATTAATTCCAAGCTGATCGATTAGATATCAAATTAGACTGGTTTCAAAGTGAAAAGGAAAAAACGAACGAGACGAATTTTTCTAATGATTTATTATCGCTTTCTGTGTGTATGTATGTGATAGAATAAATAAGTAACAGAATTAAATATTCTGTATATTTCAAGAAACAAAGCAAAAAAACAAAAAATGAAATGATGAAAAAAACTTGACGTAATGAGCTAAGTATGATATAATTTGTAATATAAAAAGATAAGAGAAAGTATGAAAATAAAATGAAAAACATAAAAATAAAATTAAAATATTTTAATGTTTTATACAATCTAATTCGCAACATTTTTTTTTTTTATACAAAATTTGCACATAACAATCGTTAAAATATTATTATACAATTTATTGTATATTTGATAAAAATATTATATAATTTTTAACAATCATTTATCATATAGAATGAAATTTTAATTTATATTATTTCACTTAATGTTCACTTTTCTTTTTCCCCCTTATTTTTGTCTAATTTCATTCGTCGAAATTTTAATAATTAATCAGAAAAGAAAAGAAATGAATTTATGGATACTATAATTGTGTGAAGAAAAATTGTTCCAATTCTCATTTTCAAAAAAAAGGAAAAAAGTATATGAAATATTTTTCTTTAAAAAAACTGAGACAAATGTAATGTGTCAACAAAAAGCCATTCATTATGTACTTTCGTTTGTTTTAATCTTTCTTTGAAGTTTAAATATAATTTAAAAATTAACTTATGCTGCAAAAAATTTTTGCATATGTTTTCCCATCTATCTTTTCTTTTATTTTTCCTCCTTCTGTTGCAAATTACATTTCATTCAACAATTTCAAAAGAAATTCTTTTGGAAAGAAAAAGAAACAAAAAAGAAAAACCATTATTTAAAGGTTGAAGAATAAAAAGATGGAAAAAAGAAATATTTTTTTTTTTTTTTTTAGATCAATAAATAAAAAAGGGATAATAGAATGAAGATTTCAAGTAAGTGTTAAGTAAGATGATGGAAATGAAATGATTATGCACTAATATTTACTTACATCATTGTCATTATTAATTGTTACCATTACTGTCATCTCACTATTATTCGTTTCATTTATTTATTTATTATATATATTTAATACTATAATTATATTTAATATCTCCTCATATATTTAAATTAACTAAAACGATTTTCATTTTAAACTATATTTTAAATTCCTACTTTTAAACCTCCTCCCAACAACCTGTTTTCTATTATTCCGCTTTAACCTCTTAACTCTTTCATATAAAGGAATGATTTTTTCCGCAATCGGAAAGAAAAGCAACAATCACAAATATCAAAATGATTTGAAAAGAAATCCATATTTATTTCTTTTTTCTTGGTAATAGTAACGATAATTTTATAACAATCAAATAAAAAAAAAAATTTTTGAATTTGAGCAAATGTAACATATGTCTATTCATTTCCTTGTTCTCTTGGCGATTAACGTATTGGAAAATTTAATTAAAATACTATTGTTAAATAAACTAACTTCCTACAATTAATTTCTTACCTTTTTCATTTGCATTAATTGTTACATAATATTAATACTCATTGATGATGTCATCAAATGACGATATCATTGTCAAATAATTGCAATAAACCTTGGTAGAGAACGATTAGAATTAATTAAATTGTGATTCATTTTATCTTATCAGTTTTACAGTTAAAAAATTTAAATTAATGAACTTTTGATGCTGACATTAATATGAAATTCTCTATGCTAAGCTTTTGTGATATTTGTGCTTATTTTTTACTACAAAACATTTTGCAAAAATACCACACACACACACACGCACACATACACACATACACACACACACACATTCACACACACACACACACACACACACATATATATATATACATACATACATACTGAATAAGATAAGATAATAAAGAGAAGATATGCAGGTAAGATAAGATATCAGAATATCATTTCATGTTATGAAAGTTATTTACAAGAATAGATTACGAAAAAATAAGCAATCATCAATGTATAACATAAAATTATAAAAAAGACTCAGCTTTTTTCAACGATGAATTTTATTAAAATTATAAAATGAAATTATAATTTTATTAATATTAGAAAATAGAATAATGAAACTAGGCAACTTTAATCTATTATCAGTACTATTAAATAAAATAAATGATAATAAAACACTAATTTCAAATAATTTATGTTAACCTCAATTTTTTAATCTATTATTTAGATTTTTATATTCAAAAATTTTCTCTCGAAATTTACAAATTTATTTTCAATACCAAAAAAGAAAAATAAAAATAAAATTAAAATCATAAAAATTTTTCATTCTTTCTTCTCTCCCTCCATTTTTCCCCTTTATTTTTGCTTCCTTCTTTCAATTTTTTTTTTAACTGATATGATAGCAACATTATCTTTTACCACTAAAGGTTATATATTTGAATAGAGTGCAAACAAAGAAGCATATACCACCATTCTTAGTTTTTTTTTTCTTCTCTTTTTTTTTTTCATCTTTCTTTGTTACTTTCACCCTAAAATCGGAATTATTTTGTTTGATGAATCATAAAGCATTTTTAGCTGAGAATTTAAAAAAAGGGAAAACAGAGAAAGGGAAAGGGAAGAAAGAGGGAGAGGGAATAAAAGTTAAAGAGTGAATTTGAGGACAGTATAATGACGTATATATATATATATGTATATCTATAAACCATATAAAATACAAACATACGACATATTAAACTGAAAATTTTTTAATTGTATAAATGGATCATAACTTTCTTGGAAATTTAACATTTAAAAAACAAAAAGAAAAAAAAAGTGTGAATCGTTGAAAAAAAAAAAAGAACGAAATGAATTCGTATTTAAATACTAACAATAATTTTAAAGTCTTAATGTTTATAAAAAAAGAACCTCTAAATTTGAAATTTATGATATTTCTAAATTAATGGATAAAGAAAAGAAATTTTAAAAATCATGATTTTTGGATTTAAATATATTATATAGTCCATTATACGATATTATATCAAAATAATAGAATGAATCTTCAAGAACTGAATTTTTCCTTATTTTATATTCAAAATGAATTCCACATAACAATCTTTCAAATTTGTTAAATTAGTGTGTCGGAAAAAAAAAAGAAAGAAAGAAGATATGTAAAAGAAAAAAAAAAAAGTTATGATGAATAGTTTCTCCTTTTCTTGTTCCATTTAAAATTTTACAAAAATCATAATTAAAATAATTTCATCTTAAAGTCATTTCGTAATTTATTCGCACAAATAATAAAATTCAAAAATGTAGAGAATTGAATTATGATCAATAGAAAAAATATAAGATGATTTCTCCTCTTTTTTTCTTTAAATTTCAAGTTTTTAGATAAAAATTCTTTGCATAAATTATAATAAATTGAGTGCGTTATAAAAACAAAGTAATGGAAAAAAAAAAAAAACAAACGTACATCAAATTATACGGCTGATGCAGCTTGTGTTAAAGCTGTTGTTGTAGTACAACATGCATTACTACTGCCATTGCTACTATTATTGCTATTATTTGCTACAGGTGATTGTACTGCAACTGCAGCTGCAGCTGCATGCGCCATAACATTTGTTTTCATTGCATATGCAGCTAATACATTTCGTTGTAAATCATATGGATTATATGTAGGCATTAAGCTGAAAGTATAGCAAATAAATAAATAAATGATTGCAACGGTGACAAATTTCATTTTCCATTTTTTTTAATCATAAAAATTTGTTACTTTTTGAATAATAATAAGTAAAATAAAAAGTATAGCAAATAAAAATCAAATAAAATCAACACTCTTTGAAATATTCGCAAACAAAAAAACAAAAAAAAAAAATTAAAATGAGGAATTAAGATATGTATTAATGAAGTAGAAAATGAAAGTAAACAATTGTAAATATTATCAATCATTCATTATCACAATTAAACCTGTAATTTATTTGTAATCAACCAAAATTAATCGAACTAATGTAATAATTACCTCAAATTAGAATTATTATTTCTCATTGATTAATAATAAGATAGATAAGATAAAATTTATCATGTCCTGTCATTTTACATATTAAATCACGGCATGAAACTCTCAGTTTACCTACTTATCGTTTCATTTACTATTGTTAAATTTATAATTTATTTATTTATTAATAATTATTTTATCGGATATATTCTTTTATTGGAAATATTTTCAATAAAACTTTGGTGATATATTATATCTCTTTTTACAAATACACTTAAAAATAGCAATGAAAATTAGCTTCTAAAAGAAAAAATAAAAATAAAATAACAACTTCAGGCATAAATAAATAGCTTAGAGTACTTATTTGTTTCTTTTTTCTCTCCCTCTTCCACTCTACCAAAGTAATAACAATGTTTTGAAAAAAAAAAGGAAAAAAGGAGGACAAAAAAGAAGCATATTTATTCAGTTACCCAGCTGTTGTGTTGGCTGGTGTGGTAGGATGAAAAAATGGTGGATAGTAGGGGAATTCGGTAGCTTTTGATAATGCCGCACTATCAGCGGCAATCTTAGCTGCCATATCAAGTGGATTCATTGATGGGTAAAATGGTGTTGCCCGTGATATTGTTTGTTGGCCTAAAAATATGCTAATTTTCATATTTAAAAATTAATCATCAAAAGTGGTTGATAAAATTTAAAAAGGTCTTGAAATAAATAATTATAATAGCTAATTATAAATTTATTATAATATAATAATTTTATAATTAAACAATTTTTATCATATATATATCATCATCATCATATATATATGTATGTGAGTAATATTTTGACATCAATTATTATTGATAAAAAAAGAATGATTAAAAATTTTACGCCAATGATCAATCAATCAATTAATCTTTTGTTATTATTTTATATAATATAACGAACTTAGCAAATTTGTTGCCGGAAAAGCAGTAAATGGTAATGTAAACCGGTATTTTTCTTTTGTCTTTGTCACACTTTTCGGTTTTCGCCGTGGCCGGTACTTATAATCCGGATGTTCTTTCATATGTAATGCACGTAAACGTTTTGCTTCATCTATAAACGGCCTTTTTTCTGCATCACAAAGTTGCTTCCATTCCGCACCTGAAATTGAAAAGAAAATTAATTAAAGAAAAAAAAAGAAAAACATCTCGAAAGAAAGACTATTCAATTACTGAGGTAAATTTTATGCCAAAGGCGCTATATTTCATTTTATAAAAAAAATTTTAAAAAACAGTCTCAGTATATCTTAGTTAGATTAACCCTTACCTTAACTAACTAGATTAATCGTTAAAATATCACAAAATAAGACAGCAATGAGAATTTTTGCAAAATTTTTTGAAATTATTTCGCTACAAGATGCTAACCCAAACGTTTGCTAATTTCGCTATTATGCATTTTAGGATTATCTTGTGCCATTTTTCGTCGTTGACCTCTAGACCAAACCATAAAAGCATTCATTGGCCGTTTTACATGTGATTCCATTGACATTTTGCCAGAGCTAAGGCTTATTGCATGACCTGAAACGAAAATAAATTTACTGTATTTTCCATTAGCAAATATTTAAAATTAACTAAGCTTATAAAATAAAAATTCATTCAGCATCATGCAAGCATATGGTAGCAACTACAAGTATAGCTTATAGTAAATAGCTAGAAATTATACATTGATAATTACTGATTTAAAAGATGAAAATTACTTCATTGAAAACAATAACAAAAATTATGAAATTAATGGAATTTCTCTTAAAGATATCTTAATACAAAAATTTATAAAATAATTAACTAAGAAAGTAAAAAAAATCGAAACATTATGATTATTAATAAACTTCAATTAACTATTACTTATACTCATTTAATACTATAAATGATTTACTAGTAGCTGATGAACGACCGCCATCTGATGATACGGAACCAATATCATCATCATCATCCAGTAATTCATCATCTCGTTGACTATTATGTAATTTATGAGTTGCAGCAATTCCTGTTCCTGATACATTGACCGGAATAGTTGATGCTGATGGTGCTGTTACAATTGACGGATAAAGCATGGTTAATTCGGTCATCAGGATTAAGAAATAATGATGTACTGATTGCTTAGAATATTTATCGAATTCAGTTAATCAAAACTAAACTGATAAATACTATTGACACTTCCGTTTCTTTTGTTTTGTTCTTTTTTCCTTCCTGAAATTTTTGTCATTTTTCAAATGAAGTATAACGAAATGCTTTAGCAATAATCTATTCGAAGATATATTAAAAGTATTAAATGATAATTTATGGCATTAAATATATTGTCGACAACTTTACTTTTTTTTTCCCTCTCTTCTATTCCTTTTATTTCTTCCTCGTTTTTTTTCTCTTTTGTCTTAGTAATAAAATATTTGGGTAATGTTTAGCAATATTTTGTAAGATTAGATATTATATTACATGCTCAATTAAATTATAAATGAAAAGTAGAAAAAAAGGGAGGAAAGAAAGGAGAAGAAAAAGAAGAAAAAAGATATATTTCTAATATCAGAAAATTCATCATGATGACACTTTTGGAAATGAATGAGAAAATATTCGAAACAAATGATAAATAAGAAGACAAAAATTTCTTTTAGCTTTTTGTACTTTTAGCTTTTTGACAATGGTGACAATAAGCAAATAATATATATATATATATATATATATATATATATATATATATATATATATATATATAATGAAAATATTATGACAAAAAAAGGATACCACAGTCTATGTAGTTCAATGGATTCGATTGGGTTGGTTCATGATTAGTGAATGATGTGACAATATCTATAGATGATGATGATGACAATGCAGATGACGACGATAATAGTGATGACAATAACGATGACAATGATGCATTTTAAAGGAAGGACTTATAAATAATATACAATGACTACAATTGACAATGACTGTGACAATGAAAGAAAGAAATTCATGGAATATAATGGGAACACTTTATAGCAACTTACATTTAACCATTTGATTATATATGAGAGAAGAAAAATGAAAGTAGAAAAAACTGTGACACTACCAAATGATAATTGTCATAATATTAGATGATCAATGTGTACTGAAGTTAGTAATCGAAAAATGGATGAAAAAAAAGGATGGGGAAATTGTCGAATATTTTACTCATTATTTAATTAAGTTGCAAACATATATTACGAACAAATATAATTTTAAAATGTAAAAATATTATAAAATAAATATAACAATAATTTCCCTTATTTCACAATTTTATTAAAAATTATTCAAATTATTTATGATTAAATTATACATATATATATATATATATATATTGGAAAAATAAGATCAGGTAGTTTCAAACTTTATACGTTAATTAATTCATTTATAAAATGTTGCGAATGTAAGAAAAGATGCAAAGGTGAAATTTATCAAATGAATAATTTAATATGAAAACTTATGAAAAGCAAATATAAAAATATAATTTCGGATAAAAGAAATCATTTTTCTTTAATCAAATAAATTCCTGAAAAAGACTATGAAATCACTATAGGTCATCAATTTTAGAATTAATTAAATGAATTGAATGGAAAGATAAGGAATGCAAATATATACATATTAAAGAAATAAAAAAGATGACAATTAAAATCTTTATTTTAATAAATGGAAAAGTTTTCCCGATTAGTCCTATAATTAATTTCCAAAAAAATTTTATTTATGACAATGACAAACAGAATTAATGTCTCTTTCAACCGATTCATCACTACCATCAGCACCATCAAAGACAGGAAAAATGATGAGTGTTTTATTTGAGAAGAAATGAATTGTATGTTATTGCTGTGTGTGTGTCATAAGTTTGAATGAATTGAAATTGGGGATGTGTAATGAAGCGCAGCATCACTACCTATCTATCCACCTCACCTACCTATTCATCTATTTACCCATCTTATTCTACTATCTATCTTAATTACTTTATCCATTTCTTCTTTTCAATATCCTCCTCTACCGATCAACGCCTTATTTTTTCTTCTTTCTAACTTCTATTTTTTCTTTTGAAACTTTCCTTCCTACCATTTATGGATTGCAAAAATAGAAAAAGAAATGATAACTATTTCCTCCATTCATCATCAAATGATTTTTCAATTGTTCACCAAGAAACATTCCATTTCTTTTATTTCCTCCCTCTCTCTATCACTCTCCTGTTTTTCCATTATTTCTCAGCCTTAAAAAATTAACATATTTTTTTCGAAATAGGCAAAAATTGAGGTGGAATAATCAAAAAAAAGGAAATGAAATAAATTGAAATGAATAACAGAATGAATGATAAAATCGAGAACATAAATATTAAGAAATAATACATCGTTGATTGATTTAATAAATGGAAAATGATAAGTATTTGTTCATATCAAATGAAGAAATACAGACAAAAGAAAAAATGAGAAGAAAAATGAACGAATTTATTGAGAATAAAAGAAGCAGGAAAATATGAAATAGTTCTATTTATCGTAACAATACTGTTTATTAGAAGACAAGAATTTTAAGTGCTACAAATAATTAAATGATATTCAAAAAAAACCATAATTTCTTTTCAGCATTATCATTATCACCATTGCCGCTATCACCATTATCATCATCATCGTCGTCTTTTCCACTTCATTCAAACTGATAATTGCTTCATAATGACTGATGACAGAAAAAAGGGAAAGTGATGACAAAAGAGGATCACATTATTAAAAGAAGTATTTTTTTTTTAAACCAACCAATTTAACTATTCATCATTCATTCATTTATTTCATTTCATTTCATTGACTCATTCATTCATTCATTCATCCAACCAGAATTGGAATGTTTTCGGGTTTTGAAAATGTGCTACATATGTGATGTCTATTTTTTAACTAAAATTTAAAAAACATACACAGACAGACAAACATCGGGCATGTGTATGTATGTGTGTGTACAATAAAAATGGATAAGCGGGCGGTATTGTCATCAACTTCTTCAATTCGTCATTTGTCCTCCCTCCTTCCTATCCTTTCTTCTTCTTTGTTGCAAAAGTTATTTCTGAATGTCAACTGATGACTGTATCTGACCAGAAAAAGGAAACAAAAAAGAAAAAAGGAAAGAAAAGATTTGTATCAAGATGATGTCGTTGTGTCAATTATGCGATAAGATGATAATAATAATGACAGGGTGAGAAGGAGAGAGAGGGTAGGACTTTTGTGAAAAAATATTTGATAATATTTAATTTTACATTAATATATATAAATATCTGACATTAACATCTTTTCAATTAAGTAAATATCTTATTGATAGTGTTAATATAGTGATTATTAAAGTATTTATCAGCTTTTTTTTTCCTTTTCTTAAGTAATAAGAATGGAGAAAAAAAATGAAATATGAAAGAAAGATTGGTTGAATTATTTCTGATTAGATAATATTTTACAAACGAAAATTTAGGGTGATAATTGTAAGAGTTAAAAGAATTTTTGCTCACGTCTATTCACCATAACCAAACAAACATATGATCTTATTGAAAAGTAAACAATTTTTTTCAATCTAATTTAACATCTGATTTAAACTACAATTCCGCACAGTAGTAAGGGTAATATTTTCTTATCTTTTTTTTTTTCTTTTCTGAACTATATTTATTGTAAGTTTAAGTAGACTTTAGCATAAAGAAATTTGATCTTATCTATTACTTTTCCAATAATAATGATATGTAATAAAAGGAGAAAAGTAATAAAATACAATAAAATGTGATATTAGTCTTTCTCAATCAAATGATGACAGTTTTACAATTCTTATTCTCTTCCAGCATTCAGGAAGTACGACAATATTCAAATAGATTAAAATGCAATCATTGCGAGTGTGTCACCTTCCTCCGATCGGTTCGTGTCTAACCAATATCGGATGAATTCTAATCCATTCCTTCAATCACGTGATTTGTCGTCGTTTTACGCTTCATAAATTATTGTTTGCTAATACATTACCATAAATAAAAGAAGAGAAAGAGTCTAACAACAATAAACGACAGCAATAGCAATGACAATAGCAACAATAACGACAACAATGATAATCACAACCACAATAACAATAATGATAACAATAACAACAATAACGACATAACAATAACTTTAGTGGCAATAATAAATAATAGCTATAATAAAGTAAATAATAATGATGATTAGTAATTAATAGTGACAATTATAACGATATGGTAAAGTGAACAGACTTGAGAGAGAGAGAGAGAGAGAGAGAGAGAACTAATGAAGAGGAAAGAAGGAGAACAGAAGAAAGAAGATAAGATTAAAGTAGTGTAGATGAATGATAGAATGATGTATGTATATATTTGTTAAAAATGGAGCGTAATATTTTTTCAATTTGCATTTCAATAGGGTACGACAGAAAAAAACGAGACAGACAGAAGAAGGGAGGGAGGGAGAGAGAGAGAGAAGGGAAAAAAAATCAAGATCTTTTTCCCTTTTTTTTTTATGGTTCTTAAGCAAAGGAAAAAAAAACAACGAAGAGAAGCTTTAAAGGTATAAACATATTTTCATAGCACAGCTTTTTTTTCTTTCATTTCTTTTCTCTTTCTTTTACCTTTGCCTGTTTTCCTTGTCACGGGAAGAAATCAGGTTTTTCCCTTTTTTTTTTTTCTTTTTTTTTTTTGCTTCAACTCTTATTCTGTCGTAATCCTTTAAACATTTTTTTTAAATGAAATATTTATTAGCTTAATTCATCTGAAAGTTTTCTTTTGATTTTTTTTTTCTTAAATGTAATACAAAGTGAACAAATTTATTTCGCTTCACAGTTTGTCACAAACACACACACACACACACACCTACAAACACCCAGACACATGTATATTATCCAAACAAAGAGTCAAATTAATTAATTGAAAAAATTGACAATTGATGTTCAAATTCAAAAAAAAAAAAGAAATAATTAAACATAAGAAATAATAGTAATTGAATCTATCTAACAAATAATGTAAATACTTTCTGTCCATTTTTTTTTCTAATAAAATGGATGGCAATTAATTAGATAAAGGAATAGTTAAAATTAATTAATTAATCAACAAATGATA